ACAAGGACGGCACATCTTCTATATTACATGAGGTACATTTCCCAAATATTTCAGTGAATATAATCTCTACAATATTCTACTTATGGATGGAGTTCTTTGGTCAAACAATATGTGCAGTCACTTTGCAGTGATTTCTAATGAACATGAACAAACCAAAAGCTAGAACTTGTATGGTGGAGACCTATTTAATGCCACTTAAGTATTATCAAAATTTATTTGATTGTGGAATGCTTTTTCTCATACGTCAACTATCATCTCTTGAAGGATACTTGAGAAACTTTGTCCTATATCTCTATCTATACCTCAGGCTATTCTGAAACATGACCACAATCACATGGTCTTGGTGTTCCCACATGTCTGAAATTCCCACTGAGGATATTTTATTTCCCTTTCTCTTCTTTACACAAATGCAAGATTCTATAACTGACAGGATGCTCCTTTGAAAGTATGCTTTTGAGACCTTCAGAGAGTAATCTTCCTCCCGTCTTTCTCTCTTTGCTTTTTCTTTTCCCCAGAAATAGCAATAAAATATCCATATGTATTTACTGAGCCTCTCTGTTGTGCTAGTTGCTATGAAATACAAGAGCTTGAAAGATGGAGTGGCCTCGACCTAAGAGAGACCTGACAGTATCCTGCTGAGAAATGCAGACACATGATCAGCTGCTGCCTAGAGACAGTGTAAGGTGGCATATAAATCATTTAGCCTGGAGTGCTACTGAAGTTCAGAGCAGTGAAAGGAAGGTACAGACTGATGCTAAGTGTTCAGAATTCCAGGCAAAAGGTGACTCTGGAGACTGGTCTTGAGTCTGCAGACTGAATGGCTGTAGGAGGAAGAGAGTTAGCTGCCCTTCTTTTCAACGGAAGATAAGTGTGCAGCCTGAATAGGGTTACATACTTGGGCTGGCAAGAGAGTGAATAGATTCCTTCCAGAGAAGGGAAGGGAAATAATGTTGAATACTTACACGTGTGACCTTGAGCTAATGGATATTGTGGGCACTGTATGATAAATGCACTGGTAGCCCAAGAGGATAAATAGAGAAGAGACAAGGAGGAAGATTAAGAAGCCATTTTAGTAGTCCAGATGTACAGTGTAAAATGGAGCTTTTCATGGACATGAAGGTATGTATTTTAGTGGCCTACCATGACAGTCAGGAGCAAGATAAACAGCATGAGATTCAAATACTTGCTCTGCAGCTTAGCAATAATGTGGTACATTGGAGAAAACTAATTCCGTATAGGTCATTTTTCTCTGTTGTAAAATAGGACTAAAAATACATCCCCTGGAGGAGTCATAGTGAACCTATGAAAAACTGCCCCACCCAGCTGCTTGTATCACTGAAAGCTCTAAAAGGTTGCCATCACTGACCTAGAGGGTTGCCCCCAGGCCATTTTTTAACAATTTATTTGAATTTTAAGACTAACTTGAATCTAAAAAAATCATATGTTCATATTTTTATTTCCTCTTTTGGTTTCATTTCAACCTGAATGGTTTTCTTGAAAACTTGGGTTTCTCTAATATATTACAGGTAAAATATAAAGAGCTGCTGGCAAGTCAGATCCTCCCCATTTTATCTTGAAACACATTTAATACTATCCAAAGAATCTTGTACATATTTTTGATACTAATGAAAGTTAGTCCCTGTACTTCTCTACAGATCAACACAATTATCAATGTCTTGATGGTACTTGCTATTTAGAGCAATTTAAACTGAAGATTTAGTAAGCAAGACACATAAAGCACATCATTTATATATTCTTGAATTTTAAGATTAGTTTTTGGAAACAAATATTCTACTACAGTTATACCAATTATTATTCTCTTCTTACATTCCTCACTCTTCTCTTTCTCTTCTCTGTCTCTGTGTGTGTCTGTTGCTATCTGTGTGTGTGTGTGTGTGTGTGTGTGTGTGTGTGTGTGAGTGTGTGTTGGGGAATCAAGCCTAGTTCTCATGAATGCAAGACAAATGCTCTACAATTGAAATATATATACTTGACTCTATTCCATAGTTACTCTTGAGAATTCTTACTATACCCTGATCTTTCAAATTTCAGTCTGAGGATTCCACCTTTATGCTCAAGTGAGATTTTTTTCATAAGGGACACAATTGCATAGTATTTTTCTTCTCGTTGTCTGAAAATGTAAGGATGTAAATATACTGCATGTAATATATTATTATATACAAACCTCAAGGGCATATTTGCTGGCTAAAATTCTTACATTTGTTGGCTAAAATTCTTACATTTGTTGTGTGAATATTTTGTATTACAATAATGAAGGCAGCAGCAATATGTGTAAAATTTGTTGATTGAAGACATGTTTAAGGTTTACCAAAATGAACATCATTCTGAATGAACACATCATGAAGGTTTCTTTTAACACCTTTTTACAGCACAACTCTTGAAATAAGCTTTTAAGTTGTTAAATTAATTATTTTTATTTTACAGATAAAAATTTAAAATAACTATAAAAGTTTTAAAGCTAGTAGGAGAGTAACAATAATTAATACATGGTGTATTGTTATATTCATAACAGCTATTCAGAGCACAAGATATAGGCATGAAATATTGTCCAAACAATATTAGCACAAACCTTTCTTTACAAGGAACTAGGAGATACTAACTGTATAATTATCTTAACTATCTTGTGTATGTGTATATATATATATATATTTTTTTCTTTTTCCTTTTCACTTCCTTCCTTTCCCCATTTCCTCATCAGTTTTTCTTTTTATTTGGACAGTTTCATCCCTAATCCCAATATCTACTGTACATTTTGGATCTTATTTACTCATTCAGTTTCTCACACTAGTGAGACATTATGATGTTTATACATGTGGGTCTGATTTATTTCATTTATGAGTATTCTTCTGAGTTGCATCCATTTACCAATAAAAGTTTCAAGTTTATCCTTCTTTATGGTTGAGTAGTGTTCCATTATATAAAAAAAACTCACATTTTTTATATCCATTCCTCGGGTGATGGGCCTTTGGCTTGTTTCTAAGATTTAGCTATTACAAACTGTGCTGCTGTAAACATGGGTGCACATATATCGTTGTGGTATGATGTTTTTAATTCTTCTGGAAAAATACCCAGAAGGGGAATAGCTGGGTCAAATGGGACATCTACTCTTAGTTTTTTGAGGAGTCTCCGCACTGATTTCCATAGTGGTTGCACCAGTCTGCACTCCCACCAATTATGGAGAAGTGTTCCTTTCTTTCATAGCCCCTCCAGCACTTGTTATTGGTTGATTTCTTGATGATAGCCATTTTTTTCTAGAGTGATATGGAATCTCAGTGTTTTAATTTGCATCTCTCAAATAACCACTGGTGGTAAACCTTTTTTCATGTATTTATTTGCCATGTGTAATCCTTCATCTGAGAAGTGTATATTCATCTCAGATGTCCATTTTTGGATTGTGTCTTTGAATTTTGGGGGCCTGATTTTTTTCAATTCTTTATATGTTCTAGACATAAGTCCTTTGTCAGAAGGAAAACTGACTATAATTTTTTTCCTACTTTATGGGTTGTCTTTTCACTCTGTTGGTGATTCCTTTTGTTGTGCAAAAGCTTTTTAATAAGGTGAGATCCCATTTGTTGATTCTTTATACTATTTCCCATGTGGTCTGTGTTTTGTTCATGAGGTCTCTGCATTAAACTAATTTTTATGTTTTTCCATTTTGCTTACACTTCTATGCTCAATGCATTCACTATTCTACTTAGAATTGTTATTCCTTTTATATAAGTTTTGCTTACAAATCTAACCAATGAAGAAGTTTCTGGATATCTAGGTTTGTATGCTACTTTAAATATATATACATTTTTTTTCAACTTTGTCCTTAGAAGCTGAATAATCTTACTTGTTCATCTTAAAAGTGACTTGTCTTTCACAAGGATCTAGCCAACCAGACAATTCCTTTTTTTTTTTTTTTTGTGGGGGCGGGTACTGGGAATCAAACTACGGACCTTGTGCTTGCCAGGTAGGCACTTGTGCTACTGAGCTATATCCCCAGCCCTCAGACAATTCCTTTTTTTTTTTAATTTTAAAAATAAAAGGAGGAAAACATTAACAGACAGACAACCTTTTACAAAATAGCAAAAGAACAGTACAGACAATACAGAGTGACAATTCCTTTTTGATATTCATGGAGCTCTTCCAACAACTGACCATTATGGGGAACTTTAACTACTGTGAAACTGCCATAATCTGCTAGAGCCCCAAACTCTACTCACACAGGGGTTTTGAGAGGGTTAAATGAGATTCAATGGCTTAAAAAGTTTATTTTTTGTCAATGAACCACAGTAAACACTATTTTTCATATTATGACACAGTAGAGGTGTTTAAAGCGTGAAGTAAAATGATTACTATGTTTATGTTTGTCAATTGTGCTCATTTTTGAAAATATGTGAGTAGTAATGCTTAGTAGTATAAAAATGTATATAGGAATGTTTCAATACCTGCATTTAAAAGGAATGTTGGCAGACTCCTACGATTAGCAATCTGTGTGTCATATATAATAGTCATGGCAAAATTTGTTTGTTCTTTATGTAATAAACCATGCTTTTTAGTTTAAGTGAAAGCAACAAAAAAATTACTACACACAATGTAACGGCAGTGTGTATATAATTGAAGCAGGATATGTACCACCCATGAACAAATATAGATTTGATCCATATACAGAGAATAGGAACAAAATTTAACATGAAATAATATTTATTCTAACTGTATATGGTTCACTCTGATGTTTTGTATTATGCTTAACCTAAAAAAAATGCTGTGATCCATTGTTGACTTTTAAGCCTATCAATGAATTTGAAAGCACTGAGATAGGAATCACTTAGCTTAATAAATGTGAGTTTCGTTCCTCTTGTGTCCCTTCCTTCCACTGTGTAAGAAAACTCTCCCTCTACTCTTCTACTACAAGTAAGTGAAAAGTAAATAGAACACAGGCACTTTAAATTTTACGCTAACATACATATACTTTGTAAATAATTTCTCCGTAGATGTGTGTTTCCTCAGAGCTCTATAAGTTTGCCAACTGGACACATAAAGCAGGAGCCATGCACTGAAATGCCCACGGAAGCCACAGATATCATGTGAGTGAATGAATGAATGAGTGAATGACATGGTTGGTGGGGTCTTTAGGTATTGAGGGGATGGGAGGCTACAGAAGGCAGGGTAGATAGTTAGAATGTTGGTCAGCTGTTGCCAGATCTTCAGATTTTTTAAAAAATCCCTATCGTGGAATTTTTTTGTTTTTTTTTTTTCCAGTACCAGGAATCGAACTCACTACCTTGCACTTGCCAGGTAGACGTTGTGCCACTGAGCTAAATCCCCAGCTCCCCTATATTGGAATTTTTAAAGCAACATTTCAATTTTAAAATTTGAGCAACTAATTTTTTTTAAAAGTTACATATTTTAAGGGACAAACAAAATAAAGTGTAGGAACCTTACTGGCCAGTTTATACCGCTAATATGCACAATGTTTAGCACTAGTGACAGAAGCCTTATCATGTGTAGCACTTTATAATTTCCAGGTAGAGAAGTTAAGAAGATTTTCTGCCAGGCACACTGGTGTGTACCTGTAGTCTAAGCACATAGGAGGCTTAGGTGTGAGGATCAGCTGGGTCTAGGCTTTTGATCCCAGCGTGGGCAACTCTCAAAAAAAGAAACAAAGCATAACAAAAAAAAAAAGTGTCTGGAATCTGGTATGCTAACATAAGGTCACTGAAAGACTTTGTTTTGGAGTCAGAAGACAGAGATTCCTTTCCTGGATCCAACAGTTAACCAGGAATGGTCTTGGCCAAATGATCTCAGCTGTCCCTGGACCAACTGGACCCTATGAGATTTACAGGGAGGAATGCACCCTGAACAAAAAATACTTGGCCCTGATGACCTAAGGATGACCTATGACCCAGTCAGTCAGAAGTGCTATCTCTCAAAGACCACTACCCATACTAACCCTTTCTTTGGTAACTTATAGAAAAAATACATCTTTCCATTTGGCCTTCATTTTCCTTTTAAAATATTATACATTATTACTGGCATTTATTTCCTAGAATTCTGGGGTCCTTTCCCTGTTTCAATAACTTTTACATAATATTATATTCTCAAAACACCTCTAATAAAACAGCAATAGGAATCATATATCTCCTTACTCAGGATAGTATTCTAGATTTTTAATGCCTATAGTTTTAATCCAAAGCTCAGTTAGTTTCCTCACAACCCTTCTAAATTCTACCTCGCTAGACTCACCATCCCTCATCATCTCCGGTGGCTCATGCCACCTCCACCACTTCAGCTTGCCAGACAGTCTCCTCTCTGCATAGTATTTTTAACATAATTTTTAATATTTTTAACATAATTTTTTGGGCCACTTTGATCATGTAGATATTCAAGTTCCTGCCTTTCAAAGCCCACTTCCTTGCTGTGGAAGTTCCTTCCAAGGAAACTCTGCATAAGACTGATGACGCAGGCAACAAGCAATACAGAGAACAGGCAGGAAGGTCCAGGGTGGAGAGAGCCCGTCCTGACATCACCAGGGGAGGGAAATACTTGACAGGAGATTCAGGGCAGGGGTTCTGGAGTTGGAGGGAATTCACATAGTTTCTTCATTTTGGTTGTACCTGGGGGTGATCCCTTCCCACAGATAAAGTTGATTTATCCTGTCTACCTAAATGTTGCCTGGACCCATTGCTTATCAACACATGCTTGTTGAATTCGCCAATACTGGGGTGGGGGGCACTGATATTCCATGTGACGCTGAAATTACAAAGCTTAATTAAGAAAACCTTTGGTTTCAAGTAGTCCACAATTCAGAGGTACTGATAAAAAATTAACACTTGTAGTGATTTCAAAGAAAATTCATGTTTGCCACTGCAGAAGCACGCACAGCAGGTCAGCAAAGCTCAGAGGATACAGCCCAGGCTTCCTAAGAAAGATGTCCATGTTCCACTTTCCCTGGGAACTCGCAGTCAAAGTTTGAAAACTTGGCTGGTATGTAGGGAACAGCATGTATGCCATAGGAAAGTAAGTTTACTAGCTCAGCCAGGGCGAGAACCAGCTCATAGCTCTGAGTCTCAGGTACACCACGCACAGTATTTTTTTCTCCAACTTGCTGAACTCTCTACAGTAGAAGCCTAAGTATGAGGGAAAGAAGGACTAGGGTGCTATATCTACTTGTGCAAAAGAGGAAAGAAAAGACATAGAAATTACACCAACTGGAAGCTAGCAATAACCAGAAGGCAATAGTTAAAAACAGTAATTAAAGAGGAAATTGTGGGATGCCCAGCAGATAAGGGTCTACCAGATAAGGGGTAGAAGAGAATTCAGCACTTTGAGGGCTGGATTCAGTCCTCAGATTCACAGTTTGAATTTCCCTTTTGCTGTTCCCACTCCCTACCACTTCCTCTTCCCCAAGAGCTGGGCCCCGGGGCCCCAGGATCCTCTCTTCTCTGTGAGACAATAAACACTTAACAATGATTTTATCCAGAATAGTAACCACTGCTAGGGTAATTCTCCTTCAAAGTAAAGGAGGCATTTCAATTTAACCTGTTTAGTTAGATTAAATCCGTTAGTTTAGTTAGATTAAACCCTACCCCAGCTCCTTTTTTTCAGAAACAAGGCCAGAGGATCCTTCCTTGTGACCCTTGAGGATACTACTGCTGTGCCAGAGAGAGATTGTAGAGGTACTGAAATTCAAAAGAACAGTTCTGAACTAAAGCAGTTTCTTTTTACCAAACCTAAGCTCTGCCACGGAGGCCCTCATATAAGCCAGAGACCCTCCTATAGACTGATTAACTTACCCACACTTGTCATCTAATTTGTGCAAGTACATCTCAGGGTGCTTCTGAAGCTTAATTAGGATCGCGCATGCAAGGCAAAGCCTGAAAATAATGAGTGCTCAAAAAGTTACAAAGATGATGAATTTTATGTGCAGGCAACTGAAGCATGTTAGGAGTTTTGAAATTACTTCCAGAATTCACTTCAATACTTGCTCTGCACCAAGATTCTGTTATCCAACACTGCCTGACTGAGGTTTTCACCCCAGCATTTTTTGTTGTTTGTTTTTAAATCAATCTGATTAAGGATACAACTCCCGGGAAGTACTGTCAAATTATTTATCTAATTAAATAAGCAAATGTTTTCAGCCCAGACATTCTAAATCTTTGTAGTTTGTCTATATTGATTTGGTTAGAACAGCTCACATCATAGAGGAAGGCATTCTGGGTGGAAAAAAAATAAATTAGCAGTCTGGAAAAAAAAAAGGCTCTCTGGGTTAAAAGGGCCTTAGCAAACAGCCTCGCTAGCCTGGCTTGTTTTTATTTTGTTTTGTTTTGTTTTGTTTTTCCATACTGTCTGGCATTAGTAGAGAACTGGGATAAATCCAGATTACCACTTATAGGAGATCTCTCTCATGTTAGAGACTGGCAAATACCATGTCAGATGCTTTGAAATCAGATCGGAAAGTTAATTCTTCAAATCATTGAATTGCTAACCAATATATTACAATGAATTGTTTACTAAAGACTGAATTTCTCCAGGGTTAGGATTACATCAGATTTGTTTTTCCATCTGTGGTGCTTTTTTCTTTTTTTTTTTTTTTTCATCTGTGGTACTAAACGCTAAGTGGTGTCCAATAAAGTTTTGTTAAATTGAACTAAACTGAAAAGGCATGGCACATTCTCCTGACTAAGGCTGCCTTTCTGTAATGTTTCTGTATCTTCATTGTAGCTGAGCATCAATAAATGGACTGTTAGAAGACAATGAATCTGAATGACAAGCCTCATACTCACAGCCACCACAGATCAGAGTAACTTTTTTGCCGGAAGAGAGAAATCACTGGTAGAAGTGACCCTCTTTCCATTTTTCTCTCTCCAGGCATCCTATAAAATATTTTATTCTCCAGTTACATATAAATACTACCATTTATTGGCTTAGATATTTATTACCCCTTATTCTTTATGGGTAATGGGTCCATAAATCCCAATTGGTCTGGAAGTTACCAGGCTTATGTCTCTTTTTCTGGCATAATTCTGAACACTATTGCCTTTCTCTCTCAAAAGTGTACTGTTTGTTTGCTAAATCATACTGACATCCAACTTGTGGGTCATTTCATTGCATATCACTCAACCACCCAAGTTTACCCTCCTTGGATGTCTTGGTGTTATGTCTTGCCTTGGGCTTTAATGGAGGCAGCTTTCTCAATCACTGCATTCAGGAAGTCTGAGCCCACTTTGGATGAACACAAAAAAACAAAGAATCCCCACTATTTACATTCTTAAAAATACTGAACTCTAAAAGGCATGCCCATAATTAAACTTAAGCTTCTCAGGTTAAACTACACCTAGCAATGTAGCTTATTTTGTCCAAATCAGTTAAGACACTCTAATGTGATTTGGAATAAATGGACAGAAAAAATTAAAACGTGGCAGGTCAAGGTAATCAGAAAACTCACTTCATTCAGTCAGTAACAATGGCCATTTAACAGATTCTTTGTACCACTGGGATGTAATTGTACTTGGCTTTAATTTCTTGTAATGACAGAACAAATGAAATTACTTCAGTCTTTTAAGGACATTGGGCTACATCATGTTTTGGTACTTCCATAAACCCAATTGGAAATTAAGTCAGCTTTGTAATTGCTCATTCTTCCCACTAAGCGGTATGTCTGCCTCGTGTCAGCAAAATGGTAAGCATTATTCACCTTAATCCAGGACATTTCAGCAGTGGTAAAAGAAATTACTTCCCCTGCCCTTCTCCTTTCACATCTCCCTATTTGTAGCTATCAAATTCTGGCATGCTTGCCAGAGCACAATCCTGTTAGAACAAGCACAGTAATTCTCGTGTGAGACTCTAGGACTTTACAATAAGGTCATAATGTACATGTGATTCAAATTTAGATGAGGGTATGAGTCGGTAAGAACATGAAGAACATCAAAGAGTAGTAAGAACTAAAACTACTTGTATTTTGTGCTACCAGCTTCTTTTTTCCCTGATTCTAGGTGGGCAAGCAAACTTTGATGTTGGGAATCTATTGCCATATGCATTAAAATGAATTAGCCTAGCAGAGGGAAAATAGAGACTAACAGAACTTTCCCACATACTGCAGCTACTAAGCTCACTTGGTAAAAAAATAATCATACTATAAAGTACATTGCAAATGGAGCACTGTGTATTGACACTAAATGGTTTAAATGCTCACAGTATTACTAATAAGCAATACTGTGGTAAAGACTATTGGCTGCCCTCTACTACAGGTGCTTTTCATCTTTAGTTGTGTTAAAATCACAATTTTAACGTAAGTATATGACTTCAAGACGTAGAGAAGACTTCCAGACTCCTTTATAGCCAAACGTTGCCACTTAACTAAATTCTAACAAAGGGATGGTTCATAATAGAAATGTTAGGTGGAAGTTTCAGTATATTTTCTTAAAAGATGTCTGTCATGTACCTTTTGCCTATCTGTCTTTATTCTTCTCTTTTCCCGCTAGGATAGAATATGAATTTTATGTCTGGAGCTGGAATCCCCATATTGGATCATAAGTAGGATTTAGTTATAAAATCCACATCTCATAAAGCAATAAGATGGAAGGAACATATGTCCCTGAAGACTTATGGAATAGCGTTGGCACATTGGCTTTGGGATGCTTACTTTCAGATTTTAACAGGAGGGAGAAATATCTATCTTGTTTAAGCCACTTCTGTTTTAAATACCTATACTTACAGCCAAATGTAATCCCAACTAATATAAATGCCAATTAAAAACCATTTCCATTTCACTGAGGATTTAGGACCGTAGCTTAGTCTTAACAAAAAGAAGTGTGTTTACATAAGCCAAGATGAGATCTGGATATTGGATGACTAGTGTTCAACTTATTGTGATTCAAACATATTGTGCAACAATAGATCGCTAGTTCACACCTTTCTCATGATTTTTAGAAAAATCTGCCAAGCAAAATCCTACAAGAACCTTCCTGGAGTTTCCATCGTGCTTTAGTCACTTGTCTTTCTAGCCTGATTTGGAAGTCATTCCAGCCTGGAAGCCATTGTGAGGAAACAAAATGTGGTCTCCGTGCCATGAAGAACATTATCCACATTGCTGGGAGGCTCTTCTTGTCCCAGGCCCCTTCTCCCACCCATTTATATGCTTGAACATATGGACATCTGCAAATTTTTCCTACTCAATAAAAAGTCTCCAAGCATACCACTCTTATTAAATCATTAAAAGCAGGAAGGTCTATTCAATATTATTTCTTTCCATGATTTGTCATCTTAAAGCCATTGTTCTCTCCTCTTGTAAGTCTGATAGCCTCAGAACTGAATTCTTGTGGATCCAAGACATACTTAAAGGGTTTGTGGAATGACATATTGTGTCAGTATAGTCAGAGCACAAATACATTAGAATGTACATATTAAAGTGAAATAGTTTATGTGTAAGCTCTCTGAAGTTAGATAGATTATGACTGTCTTATTTACTATCAAATCTCCAGCTCTTAGAAGGGTGTTTCTCAATACAAACCTGTCAGATGAATAAATTAAGGGTTTACCTGGAGAAGCAAACCTGTTGTTTGTACATATTGAGGACTCCTTTGTAATTACGTTGTCAAAAAATCAGTCTTGTGAATGCCTTCGCAGGACTATTTCTATTTTTCCATCATAGTCACCAGGGATCCAACTATATTTCATAAAGTGTTCTAGCATCATGCCCTCCTCCTACAGAAAATCTTGCCACCATTTCTAAATCGCTGAAGGACTATTATTCTCATTTGGATTCCCCAGTGTGTAGACATTTAAATATATATGCTCAAGCCCCCTTAGGGGACAAATGGAAACTGCCATAAATGTCAGCTATCAAAATTAGCTGCATAGATTATGAAATATAAATCTCAATTGTATTTGTTCACAGCAGTGTAACCTACACATTCATTAAGATAGGAAATATAAAACAGCTGTAAATACCATTTAGGAGAGAGACCTCCATTATCTATTCCAGTGAAGGGATGGATGTGGTATGGAACCCTGAAGATTACCCACTGGAACCCTGCCTCATCCAGGACTCAATTGAGATCACCAGTGCTCTTCTACTTCTTTACCGTCTCTTGGTGGGGAGGAAGAAAATAACATTTGACTAAATAGAAACTGCTTAAATCCTTCAGAACCTGAACTGATAGGATCACAAGCGGGAAAACAAGATGAAACTACAGAAAGACAAGATGTACTGGGCATCCTAATGAATGCTAGCTAACTCTAACACTGTTGTTTATTGCATATCTAAACATATAAGGTCATTAATGAAAGTCTAAAACTCTAAACATGACTATAACATGTCACTTGATAAACCTTTCAGGTATGAATAGGATTCCTAATGCCAGCATTTAGTTATTTATTATTTACTGGTATATCATGTATGTTTCAGAATGTTAAATGCTACTAATATAAATCCCCCCCAGATATCTGAATTATTCCTCAACTACTAGTTGACTTATACCATCCAAACTTTGGTATCTTTGGTAGAGCTTGAGATAAAGGATAAGTCATGCTATTAAACTCACAGGAAATCCAATATTTGAGAACATAGTACAGAAATACAGATAAGTATCCCTGTTCTTGGGAGGTATACATTAGAAAGTTTTGGGGATGGAAGAGTATGATGTGTGCAGTTTTCTCTCAAATGCATCGGGAAAAAAAATACAATATATTCGTGTGTGTGTGTGTGTGCGCGCGCGCGCATGCAAAAAGGGAAAGTGACATAAAGCAAATGAGGCAGAATGTTGACAGTGGGTGAATCTGGGTGAGGGATATACATATGTTCTTTGTACTATTCATGAAGCTTTCCAGTATTTTAAATTATTTCCAAATAAGATATTTTTTCAGAAAGGTAATCAGAGCAGTGATGATAAAATATTCAATTATCTCCTGTTTCCTACACTCTCATAGACAGACCTCATGTACACACATATGCTATTATGAGTGGCATTTATTCTACTTTCTGTTTCTACAAGAGTGTTAACATAGTACTAGAGCAGGAAATTTGGTTTCTCATCTATCTATGCAATTAAACCCTAAGTAATTCTAAGATTTGGGGGGGGTTGGGGTGACTTGACTTTCAAGACAACAGTTTCAAAGACGTAATATAATGTCAGCTCTTATAAATGAGACTGCCCTTTTGTCCTTTCAGATTTGGTTAAAACTGGCCCACAGAGTGCAACTACATGAGAACATATCCTTGGGAAAGACAGCTGAGGCACAAAGCCCAAACCACAGGCTACTGAAATCTTGGTGGAAAGTGACAGCTCTGGACTGTTGACCTTTAAAGTGCTGATGACTACAATGAGCTGTGGAGGGTATATGATTTGTTTTGAACACATTTACTATGATTGATGGCCCAGATTTGGCAAGTTGGTTCAATCCCCATAGAGATGAAAGTTTCACTGCCTTCCCTCTTGCAACATTCCTGTTGAGACAGGTTTCACTCCTATTGGCCAATGCAATAACAAATCACTTATATTTTCTGCATAAGGAATTCATCAACTACACCATGGATCGATGCTCTATATACTATTCCTGAGTCAACATAAGCAGTTAATTAAACTTACTAAAATGCCTCTGGAATTTTTCCTTCATGCTACTGAGCTTCAAGGCACAAGAGTTTCAGTTTAAACCAGTAATTATACATGTAACTTTGTGAGGTGATTCAGGGCTATGGCCAGGGTCAGTTTAGGGAGTGATATATCAAAAAGGACAGGTTATAAAACTAGTATGGGGGGCTGGGGATTTAGCTCAGCGGCAAAAGCGCCTGCCTGGCAAGCACAAGGTCATGAGTTCGGTTCCCGGTACCGGAGAAAAACCAAAAAAAAAAAAAAAAACTAGTATGGGTGATCAAAAACACTGACAATTGGACTCAAACTATTCTATGGGTTAAGTTACTCCGAGATATCAGCATTCTGAGCAAACTAATTTCAGTTGTTACCTTAAAAAAAAACCTGAAAAGATAAAAACCGAGATAATCAGTTATTTGTCAGAGGCAAGGGGATAGAGAATATAAACAAAAAAAGGAGGTAAACATGAATGAGAGGGCCAGGAGTACCGTTCAGTGGCACAGTGCCTGCCCAGCAGGCACAAGGTCCTCAGTTCCATTCCTGGTACCAAAAAAAAAAAAAAAAAAAAAAAAAAAAAAAAAAAATGAGTAGGATAGTCCTCGTGCCGTAGAATGAAATTCTTATTTTAAGTTGATGATTGTGCAGAACTACAAAAAATGCCAGTGACAAGTGAAGAACCTAATTCCAAGGTTACTCTAAGGAGAAAGCAATTTAAAATATGGTTTAGATTATGACCAAAATTCAATAGTTTGATTATTTTTGTTATCATTATTGGTTGTTTTCGTTAAGTAAAGAAACATGAGAAAGAAAAATAGTTTTTGGCTTGTATCTTCCAGGAAAGAAATAGGGAAAGATTGGGTGACAGGGAGAAAGAAGGGGTTTGGGTTGACAAAGTCTACCATCATCAGTTTTAACTAAGGTAACTTTTATTGACATGTCACGCTTTATTTTCCCTTCTTACCAAAGTCTGATTCAGCAGTTCTATTTCTAAATTTCAGTTTGAAAGCAGATATTAAAAGCAGTGTTTATTATACAAAAGTAAAGAGACACACAAAAATCCAGATTTAAAAATCCCGGAGTACGCTGTATTTCTGCTGTCTTCAAAAGTATCAAATTTTGCAAAAATGCATTAGAAATTTTTTAACTTTTTATTTTTTAAAAATGGCACACAATTACCAAGAAGACATTTTCACCTTCAGTTGCTAAGTGAGCTGTACCGTCAGAAAGTCCTCACCACACACTTACTTGTACACTTTGTGTAAATAGACTATATGATGTCTGAAATAAACTGCACAGCCCTGATGCTACCTCTGCTACAGCAAGGTTGCAGTCTGGTCCAACAGGCTACTCATGTCCCAGTATTTTATAACAATAAATAGAATGAGGAAGAAATGTCTAGCAACTGGCCATAAAACCACCAAGAGTGAACTTTCAATGTTCTGTTCACAGTGATAATTTTTAAATTCATATTGGGACTCTTTAAGTAGAGTTAGTGAACTCTAACATGCTATTACACCCTCTGTTTTGAGTTATAAATCAAATTACTTTTTAAAAAGTACATATAGAATGTCTGCAACCCCTGAATTAATACATCTGTTAGCATTGATTCCCTTCTTTAACCTTATTTTTACTTAGGCACTGGTTTATTTCTATCATTCTAACAAGTAGCCTGATTATCAAGAATAAAAATTACTTCTGTTGTAGAAAAGTCCAGAGGGTACCCTGCTTTCAAAACAAGAAATATGTTGAGCCAGCAATCTCTCTGCTTGGTTCATATCCAGATCAACTGAAATCTGGATCTTGAGGAGGTATCTGTACTCTTGAGCTCCTGGCAGCAACAATCACTATAGTCAAGATATGAAAGCGACGTAACTATCCATCAATGTATACATGGATAAAGAAAAATTGGGGCTATTCATTCAATGGACTGTTATTTAACCTTTTACAAAAGGGAAATTCTCTCATTCACACTAACAGGGATTAGACTTGGAGGAAATTATGCTAAGTGAAATAAGCTAGATGCAGAAAGACAAATAATACATAATTTTGTATACACATGGATTCTAAAATGGTTAATCTTAGAGAAGTAGAAAGTGAAAGAGATGTTGCTGAGGACTGGAAGAATGGGATAATGAGGTGCTGGCCAAAGGATATGCAGTCTTGTAAAGTAAGTTCTGGAAAGCATTGCTTCGACAAACAGCACCTGATTAACAATATTGCATTGTACAATTAAAATTTGCCAAGAGGGTAGATTCTATGTTAAATGCTTTTACCACAAAAGGCAAATCAACAAAACAAAATAAAATCAAGGGGGCAGGATAAAACTTTTGGAGTTGTAGCAGTTAGGATGGAGTGTCAAATAGATTGGCTTTTGGCTCTACCCATGGGTGGAGCAGACTTCTTAGTGTTTGGGTGTGTTGTAGTAGACATAGGGTCTGCATGTCTGGTCCCCTGCTCCTTCCTCTCTAGCACTATTTCTCTGCTCTGCTTCCCAGTCCCCATGAATGAAGCAGTTAGCTCCACCATAAGCCTCCCATCATGTTTATGCCATGCAGCCAGCTAACCATGGAGTGAATCCTTTAAAACATGGGTAAGATTAAACTTCTCCTCCGTTAACTTGTGGGTGTTGGGTATTGTGTGCCAGCAATGGGAAAACTGAATAATATAGAGGTAATGAATAAGTTTATGTCATCAATTGTGATATCCAATTCATAGGGATCTACATACTTCCAAAAACATTGTTTTATATATTACATATCTGTACCTTTTGCATGTGAATCATATCTCAAAACATATTCTTTAAAAAAGAAAATAAGTTTTATTAAAGAAAAGAAAGTTATCAGAAGATTCAATGGTTGATTCACACACTGATTTCATGTTCACCAACATCTAATTCTCATGTTTTGGGAGATTTGCTGCTTCCTGTACAATGACCTCCTTTCATTTCTTGAACACAAAGACTACATATGGTCTACTTGTTACATTTATAATAAAATACCAGTGGGTTTTCTTTGCAGAAGAAGCACCTTAAATCTTCTATTTCCTTGAGAAAGAAAATCAGGAAACAGTTGTTAATAATTTTTTTGTTGCTCTTTTACTCTAACTACTTTGAAGATGATACAGCTTGTACTGACTTTTGTTATTCTCTTATTATTTTGTTATAAAAGTTTGTTTTAATTTTTCATAAAATAAACGTTGTTAGAATGACAGTGTTTTGGATATATTGGATGAAATAAAATATAATTTTAAAATTAAAAGAAGATTCTATGCCAATAAAGTATTGTTATGGGGTACAAAAGATTTTTACCTTAGGTGTTCTCATGTTTCTCATCTGTTTTTCAGATTCTGTTCTAGGAAATGTACTTTGTGCTGGGGATATAGCTCTGTGGCACAGCACCTGCCTGGCAAGCACAAGATCCTGAGTTCAATTCCTGGTACCAAAAAAATGTACTTTATTTACTCTGCTAATGGAAAACCAATTGATTCACTGATCATGGACTTTATACCAAATGCTGAATAAGATTATGGATGTGTAAAGAAGAATGAGACAAGTCTTTTCTGAAGAAACTCATGATATGGTGAAGAAAAGAGACAAGCCACCAAACAATCCCCATTAACACTACATGGGCTCTAATAGTAAATGCAGGAACACATACGGGCACCTAATTTGGTCTCTGAGGAACTTCCTGGAGGAGGAAATTCTTTATATGTTAAAAAGGGAGATATCAGGGTACAGAGAAGAACAAGAGTCAAGTGGGGAGAATGAGGAAGGATCCCAATAGAGAATAACATGAATATGGGTGTAAAATAATGAGAACATAGAATATTAGGGAACCTGCCCATTCATTGCAGCAGAGAGCATGTGTGGGAGATGAGGCTGGAGAGATACGCAGGATGAGGTCACAGGAACTGAATGGAGAGTGAAGGACGTTGGTCAGGTCTTTATCTAGTGGGGGAGTGTAAAAAGATTTTTATTTTCAAGACATTGATTCTTCTCTTTCCTTGCATGGAGAATAGAAGATACCATGGTCTGAATGTTTGTGTCCCCGCTACTTCATATGTTTAAACATCACTAAGGTGATGGCTTTAAGACACGGGGCCTTGGGAAGGTGCTTAGATCATGAGAGTAAAGGCATCATGGGTGGGATTAATATGCCGCTATGAAAGAGTCTAGAGAAAGCTGCCTTGCCTTTTCCATCATACAAGGACGCAGATGCCATCGATGACCCCAGAGGAGAAACTGAGGCCACTGGTGCCTTGATCTTGGACAGCCCAGTCTTCAGAATTGAGAAATGCACTGCCGCTCAGTTTATAGTATTTAGTTATAACGGGTTAAACTAAGAAAAGAGAAAATATGCCTTTATGGAGAGTAATTGAAGTGCATGAAGTCGCCATAGATTTCTGAAGAAAAAAAAATATGATCAACACAGTATTTCAATCAGGAATGTTTTTTAAAGGCAGAAGTTATCACATACTTCACACATTTCCAGTCTATATGATGACAATGAAACCCTGCCTAGGTTTCTGATACATTTCCTGGAGTCTGAATGTCACTGCAAAGATAAATAAGGCAAACAGATTGGATTCATATGGGTTCGCCGTGTGACACATTTTTTTCCACGTAAGATTAGAGGAAAAACTGATTTCATTCAATTCCCTGCCTTATTTGGGTTAGAATCAAAGTCAGTGCCATTATCCTTTGCCTATTCTTTTGTATTTAAAAGTCTGATGTAAGACTGTACTGTTACAGAAGAAATAGTTTAATACTTTCTGTTACCTCTTATTGTGCATGGATTTTCATGTGAAAAGAAAGAGCCAGGACAACTTTTCTTTAACAAATATGAGAGACCTAATGTACAAATAATTTAAAGAGCAAAATAGAAGGGAGATGGTAGAGAGTGGGGAGGTAGACTCTGGGGAGATGGGAAAGGATCTGGGGAAGGAGGCAAGGAAGAAGCAGGGGGCAGAAGAAGGCGTAAAAATGATCAAGATGTGAAATGTGCATGTACCAGTTTTTCTTAAAAGGGGCTTTTTAGTCATCAAATAAAAATACTGCAGTAGTTTGCATCTTAATTGTTCCCCAAAGGCCCAAGTGTTACAGGTTTGTTCCCTACAGTGGTTCTGCTGGGAGATAAGATGTGGGGCTCATTGGGAAATGTTAGGTTATCAGAGCACACCCTTAAAGTAGACTATAGGAGCCCAGTCTCTTCCTCTGGTCACTTTTCCAC